TTCATTTTCACTTCTTACTTCCTTTCCTTTCTTGCCCTTGTCCTTTTATTCATTTTCCGCGGAACGGTCTGACAAATATGCCGCATGCACTGCACAATTCTCACAATAATTTACTTGTCATGTTCCTTTGTATTTTACTTATCCTTGGCATGTCCAATGTTCATTTTCCTGTTCCACATTGTGTGTGTGTTCCATTTTCATCTTCATGTTTCCGCTTTGTAATCTCATTCCTTCTGGTGAAGACGAGGACCAAGAACAGATTCGAAAGAATAGGAGCATGAGCAAGGAAAATGAAGAGTGCGAGGACAAAGAGGAAGAGAGAGGAGGACAAGGAAAGGGAATAGAACAGCGGAAAAGAACAAGTAGGAGGCAATTGGAACAAGAAGTGCAAAAGGAAAAAGAAAAGAGATAACAAAATTTAAAAGGAAGTTGCAACGGTTGAAATGAGGAGACAGAGGAAGAGAGGTTATATAATGTGTATAGTCTGCATCACACGCGGGAGTACCCATTTTGCCGCCGTGCCATTGCCCGTTCACCTTGGCCAAGGAAGGGCAGAGAGGCGACAAGGAAGTAGAGTAAGACAGGGAAGAGAAAAAACATGAAACAAAGAGGAAGAAAGAACAAGGGATAGAATAACAAAGAAGAGACGGAAGATGAACACGGAAACAAGTGCAAGGTGAAAAACACACAACAACATAGGACGAAGGTGCAAGCTGGCACGTATCCTGTTCTCTCAAGTATAAGGCACGTATCCTGTATCCTACATGAAGGGGCCCGGGATTGTTCCGCCTTTTCAATTTTGGACAGGGACGAGGTCGAGTTGATACTATGTATAGTGTGTATCGTACATGAAAATCATTGAAAATCTCTTTTGGGACTGCTGGAGGTCTTGTAAGTCTTCGAAAAAGGTGGAAAGGCAAAAGTCCAAGAGGCACGGAAGAGCCACAAAAAGAGGAACATTGTGAAATGAAGGGGACAAAGGCAAAGGGAGTAGAAGAAAAAAATGATGAACATGAAAAGGAAGAGCGAAAGGACGAAGGAAAAGGAGCGGACAAAAAGTGAAAAAGCGGAAGAACAAGAAGGAGGTCAGGAAGGAAGCGGTTTTATAGACATTGTATAAACTTTGTTCAGCTTGAATCGGACATGAATCATGACATGAAGGAGTTCTTTTTGGCATGGTTGGAGTGCCACATCAGTCTCGGAAATGGACCGGCAAACAAAAACAGAACAGGGGACTGTGGGAGTGCTACTTTCTGCATACATGACTTAGTTTCAAAACCTCAAAATATTTAATTCTAATCACCAATCACACATGAATTAACTTGTGAAACCTTATCCTATATTAAACACACACACCAAAAAAAAACTATGTCCCAGCCACTTATGGACCCCCGTTGAGTGTTTTTTGTGTTTTGAGTCTTGAGTTTTTCTTTGTGTGTGTGTGTTTTGTTCTCTCCAGGCCTTTTGCAACTTCTGCGCCCCAACTTGTCAAAAGACAAAACAAAAGAAGGCAATGGAGGTCCATGAGTGGTTTGGACATAGGGTCATAGGGTTGTTTTTTGGTTTAGTTTTTGTTTGGTTTTATGGACGTTTTTACTAATATTACCAAAGGACAGGAGCCATTGTCCATGTCTGCTCAGCCGCACCTCATGGACATCATCCAGGTGCGCATTGTTTGCTGATTTTCTCATGGTTTGGACACCTTCCCAGAAAGTTACTTGAAACCATGGGAGGAAATACAGCACAGCCAAGACTTGAAAATAAAATCAGCAAACAAATTTCAGCATGTTTTTTTCAAAGCAAAATCCTTCAATACATGCCTTGTGCAGCAATATGTGTTCAAAGAATATGACATGTCTTGCATAAAGTCACATCATTACGTGCATAAAGCGGCATCATTTTGCACAGTCCTCTTAAAAAGGGAGTGTAGTGTAGTTTTTCTTTGAAAGGAATCTCAAGTCATGTTCAAGGCGACAGCTTATCAAAGTTCTCTTAGAGGTAAAGGAATCGATGGAAGAAGGACAGCAGCATTTCAGAATTGAATCTTTTGAGTACCTATTCTTAATAATCATTGTATTCCTTAAGAAAGTGTTGGTGCGGGTATGCTAAAAAGTTGCCTTGATAAGGCTGTGAACCATTTGATTGAAAAACAGGCAATAATATGAAGAAAAACGTTACTATGAAGTAGAAGTGTACCTATAATATGTTTAGAAAGAGACAGGTAATGACTACAACGTATGAAATATGGCCTTTCATATGAGTGAAACAACCGAAAAATACAAGCACCATTATTTAAAAAAAAACACATTACAAACCAATGTCATGCAGAAAAATGGGAGCGAGGCTTAACTTCATTGAGCACATATTGCATTTGTTCACATATTGTATTTCTGCAAGAATATTGTTTTTTGTTTCAGGGATTATCTTGTCTTCAAAGCAATTAATTATTTCATATAAAGAAGTGAAGTTTTTCCTTTAAAAGCACATATCATGCAGAAAAATGAAAATGAGGCTTACCATTGAAGGATGTACTGCATCTTTCCACACATTACAGTTTTCTTTCAAGAATATCGTTTATTTATTTAAGGGAATATATGTCTTGTCTTCAGGGCAGGCTGCAACCTGGAAGCAGTATGTTCCTTCAAAAGTAATCGAGTTCGACCAAGGATTGCTGCAATGTGCATCGACCATTGCTCCTTTTGACAGCAATACTGAATGCTTAACTTAATACTACAATGTTTTGGAAGACTGCACTTCTACAGAAACGAACAATGCATGTTTTGGGAAACCTCTATATTTCGTAGGGATACTACTTCTTGAAAGAAGTATTGCATTGCCTTGGACGAAAAATGCAGCTTATGAATGAAAGATATAGTGTGAAACGAAGACATCGCTTCTGCCAAAGTAGCACTATATTTTTACATGAATGCCTCATAATTTGCAAGGGTGATTAAAGGGTTGCATTTGCAACTGTTTCAAAATAGTTTAGCTTGCTAGATCTTACTAGGGTGTGGCAGTCTCTCACATTGTCTCCCTCCCATCGGCCATTGTAGTGTTTACATGTTTTTACTGTTTTTTTTGGTTGGTGGCGTCTTCATTTGGATGAACATTTTGGCAGAGACATTAGGCATGCTGATGTTTATGAACAATTAGCACCAACAACTTGCTGTAAAACTAACAAAAAAACGCACTCCCCCAGTCCCCCGCTCTCAAAAAAAGAGGACATGGAAGAGGCAGAGAAAGAACAAAGTCAAACATGAAAAGGACAAGGAAGAAGAGCAGGAAGAGAACAAGGAACTTTAGTAAAAAGAGGAAAAGAAATTATCAAGAGGAAGGAATATGACAAATGAACAAGGAAGACGAACATGGAAGAAAACACAGGACAAGAACGAGGAAGAGGAATAAGAAGAGGGAACCAAACAAGGGAAAACAAATTAATTACTTTACTTCGAGGGATCCCCAGCATGACATTGTTTTGTCATAATTAATGATATCTCAGTAATATGTCATCTATAAATATATATAGTATATATGGCATATATTTTCTGACATTCTATTCTGGCATTCTTTCTGACATTCTTTTGGCATTCTATTTGGCATCTATTCTGACGTCCTATTTGGCATCCTCTCTGGCATCTATTCTGACATTCTTTTCATTTCTGGCATTCTTTCTGATAATGTATTTGGCATCTATTCCGACATTCTTTCCGGCATCTCTTCTGGCACTTTATCTGGCATTCTATCTGACATCCTTTCTGGCATATGTATCTGGAATATCTTCCGAAATTCTTTCTGGCATTTTATCTGGCATTATATCTTCGGAGTTTCTTCGTGGTTGAGGTCCAGGTGGGAACGCTCTAATCCGGAGCTTGCGGTGGAGGTCCGGCGGGGAACGCTCTGATCCGGAGGTTGCTGTTGGGGTCCGGCGGACGACGGAGGAGGAAGGAGGAGGAAGGAGGAGGAAGGAGGAGGAAGGAGGAGGAAGGAGGAAGGCGGGCTGGCTAACATAAAATCTAACAACCCGCACCTGACAGGTGGGGAAAACGGACAGAACAAACATGAAACAAACAGAACAAGAAGAAACAGCAGTTACAGAAGCTGCGACAAGAGAATCAATATGTAGGGTAACTTAGTCGTCACTTCTCTGTGGCAGGTAGATGCAGAAAAAAGATTATGAGCACTTCGATTATTAATCATCTTACTTGATTTCAGGACATAAATTTAGCAGCAGCAAAATCAACACTTATTAGTAGAAACCAGGTCTATTTACAATGTATTTTACCTCCTCGAGTACATCTGCAATGGTTAATAAATTCCCAGGGCGCTGTCATGCACATGCCTGTAAATAAACCGAATGTAAGTTGTACATATGATAGTTCTCACGGAACGGACGAAATATACCCCAAAGGTCCCCCCCACATATATATATATATATACATATACATATATATGTGTGCGTGTTACTGCAATAAGGATGTGATGGATCCATCAGAACCATCCTACAGGTTTCCTTCAAGGCCACCTCTGCAGCATCCTGTCGGACTGGGCGAAGCACCTGATGGCTTTCCACCGGTTCAGCTGGGGTCAGACCAATGTAATGATACAGGATAGAAACAAATATAGCATGGGTGTAGCACAACATTATACAACTATCAAATTACTACCATTACGATCCATTACGAATCAATAGAAACCAAGGATATTATCGAGAGTAACAGACAAATGTGTGACTACATCCCAAAAAAAAGGAGATTGCCGAAGCCATTAGATGTTTGCTGAAACGGAGAAAACTACGCCTCAGTGACGAGTTTGATTTCGAGATATCCCAACAATGCTCTTGGAACTGGTCATGAACTGGTCAACAAAAGGAGGGCGAAGATGGGCTAGAGAAGTTGGCAGCACGGCTTGATCACCGTTGTTTGGTGGTGCCGATGGTGTTCGTTTCTGGAATTTCTTGAGCCAACAAAACCCTGTGCATTCCAGGAACCACCTGCGGTTTGTCACCCAGCCTCCGGCAACTTCTGAGAAGTCCCCACGACAGCTTGCACCTTCGTGCTAAACCTCATGTTATGCTTGGCAATGACATGCGGAATCTGAGATGGCACCAGATCAAACAAATTCAGGTTGCTAGCGCAGGTCATGTCTCGCTTCGAATGTCCAACATGTCCCAAGGGACCTTTTGGTGTACTTGGAAGTGAAATCTGAATGGCCCGCCCGTTCGGATACAGGACCAGCTTGCTGAGGGTGTCACGTCTTGTTAACTGACCGGTGGTCATCCATCCACTCAACCACCTGCCCCAGCGAGGCCGAGTGTCTTGCAGCCTGGTCAAAATGAGTCAAAATCATATCTTGTTGTATCACTCTACAGCTTTGAAATGCTTTGAATCTATGTACATTACCTAAGATTTTGATAGATTTTGTGTACTTCAAAATCTGGATTAGATCGGACTTCATCGGATCCGAGGAAACTAGATTGGCTACGATGCTACAGGATGTCATGGCACTCCACGTCATATCACATGTCTGCACATATCATGCTTAATCATACCGTAAAGTATCGGATCGTACATTATGTAATGTCACGTCAGGCCACATCATATCCACCAAATCACAGGACTTATTGTGACATATCAAGTCATGTCATGTCACAAAAACAAAAAAAGTGTCCTACCAACTACTAACTACTATCCCATCACATTGTACCATATCTTCAAGTGAAGATTGTAGTTCAAGGAAGCTTCCCTTTTACGTCCCGCGGATATCCTGCTAATTCAATGATCCCATGATTCTAGCACCAGCGGCGCTACAGCTTTAACATAATCAAGGCACGGCTTTGGCATCTGCAGCATTGCTGGAGAGGATTCGCTTGAAAAGCTCCCGCCTTGGCAGGGTTATTCACCAGTGGGTCTGAAATCATCGCAAGAACTCAGAATCAATAATCATCAATAATCTAACAATCTATTCTTCTCAGGAACTGCATACAAGAAAAACGAAAACAAGGAAAGCGCACCATCAGTACACTTAATCACTATATCGATGTCCATCAGATGACCCGACTGATTGGAAGATATTGGAAGCATGAAAAGCCGATGATCCGATGCGGTTTGGGTTTCAGACTCTGTGAAGCGATGTTCCAAGAGCTCTCGGGAGCGTGGAGCTTTGGGTTCCAAGGTGAGATCTATGGAGGGATGCAACAGGTCCATCTTTTCGCACCTCGGAGACTCGCAAAGCGGAGCACAAGCGGAGCAAAAGCGGAGCAAACTTCGTGGCACGTGCGGCACGGGCGGCACGGGATCACGGTACAGTTTCAGCAAGCGCTGAACGACTGGGGTGTAGGCGTTCTTCCTGGGAAGGGCAGGGCTGCAGCATGCAGGAAACAACAGAAGTCACATCATGCCTGAAGCTGAGAGACCTCTGAATGTATCATGTCCGATGCTCCTTCCCAAAGGAGACAATCAAACAATTGAAACAAATGATGAATAAAGTATGTAAGGGTGCATGTCATGTATGTGCAGACATCTTCATTTGTGTCTGTACATGTCATGCCCTTCTTCGTATGCATATTGCAGTCAGGAGGCGAAGCTCGTCGAACATCTTCCTCGTGATGTTCATTCGCAAACCTCCATGATCTGCTGGAACCTGGTGGAGATGGTCAGATCATCAACGAAACAACTGCAAAAGAAACACCGAAAGACCTTTGTTCAATCTGACCTTGTTGTCTTGACTCGGCTGGTTGTTACTGATACCCACCAAGCACAACAGCCACCTGCAGGGCATTGTTCTGGCGGTAGAGCTTCCACCTCAATTCAGCTTGTGTAGCGTCTCATCAGTGCAGTGTGGTCAACAGCGCTGGGACCCTGACTTGCAATTGCCCAGAGCCGAGATGGGCCTGGGTCAGCACACAAATTCCAAGATCTCAAGGAATCGGCCCACTATGACAGAGTGCAATAATTGTGCTTCGACCCCTGGATGTCGATTTGAGTCCGGAACGCAGAAGCCCCAGAGCCATCATGCTCCACTCCAAAAGGACTTTTCATCTGTGGAGCCGTGCCCTCCAGACCCAACCTCGGGGGGATGGCTGGTGAGTCCGGGCTGATTAGGGTCGGGCTCATGTACAAGTGCTTGCCATATGCACTATGATGGTATTAGCCTTGTTAGCCTTGTCTGTTCTAACTAAACTTAGCCCTGGCAAACTCTTGGAGCGAATAGCCATAGCTCACAAGGACTTCGATCTGGAGGCCCCAGCAACACCGAGCAAACATGATGGATTTCCTGCGATGGAAAGCAGGGTATCATAGGGTATCTCTGGTTGCACAAATCTACCCTTCTGGATTCTGAAATTTGGATCTCCTATTCTGTGTGAAATCAAGTGAAATTCCAGCATGGTGCGCACCACCAAGCGGCTTTGCTGGCTACGAGAGTTCAAGGCCTGTTGCTTCTTCGCTTGTTCCCACAAGTCACCGCCCTTCACCTCAGGCAAAAGGTGTTTGCGCAAGTTGCGGATGCTCCATTCACTGTGACGAAAGTACTTAATATTACTTAACTTCTGATCCAAAAAGAAAAGGCGTGTTCTTCTGAGCTTTCTGTATGGTTTCATCAGTTGCTTGTGTTTCTACAAGGTTCACTGACAGTTGACTGCTAGGGGGTTCCCTTCGCCCACATGTCTGCCCGAGTCATGGCTCCCGACACCCTGCAGATTGCTCTCGGGTCGCCACACCTTAGCCATCTATTGTGGATATGGTTCACAGTGTCTAATGTGTCTTTTGTTTTTGGGGGTGACCTGCAACGATTCTGCTAGAGCTCAACAGCTACCGATCATCCTCCTTAACCCAAAATCGTTATGAGCTTAAGCGATGCTCGACACCTGGAAGATCCAACACCTCGAATCGCCTTTTCCAAGGGCATGTCCTATGGCAGTTCAGTGCAGTGCAAAGTGGCGAAATTTCTGGAGGCTTCAGACCAGTTCACCCAGGGCTGGGCGCCCACCAAATGTGAAAAACGCCACTAGCTCGGTGTCCGCGCCCAAACATTCAGATCCCAACTGGACGTGATCATACAGTAATAGAATATATTAGAATATAATAGAATTCTCTACATCCACACACAAACAGTACACCAATATGATGTTTACAAAGTTACAAAGATGAGTTTGTCATTTCCCACTCTTGCAACCCTGCAGTACGCATCAAACCACTGGGTTGTCCAGACAAAGTTGGGAAGCAGCTTGAGGCTCAGCCGTTGCTTGGCAACTGCGCGAGCAGGGGATGTGGCGGCGGGTTTTATCCACGGTGCCTAAAAAAGAGCACCTGCGATTCACCTAAAGTCTGATTCTGGGGTGGCCTGATACGAACCCAATAAAATATGTCAGACTTGGTATGATCACTTTGGGTAGTGACAATGACAATGATGGTGCATTTCATCTATGCCTCCTTTTGCGTGCAGGCTTCCAATGTAAATGTGACTTTCGCATTTATCCATACCTAGACATACATACAATATCATATAATACATAAGCATGCATGAAATATGTGCGTATAGGTACATATAGAGACATACTTGCGTCCAAAGACAAGATAAAAAAGAGGACAAAGGCATGAAACCTACAAAGACCTTTGAGATGTGTGTGGAAATCCATACAGTAATCATCTTGCAAATGAGGAGTGTGGGGGCCCAAGGCGATTCTGTGGCAAACGCCCGGCCACCTGGAGATGTGAGGCTTGTTACACCTCAGCAGTGATGGCAGCGGTGTAGCAGCTGACCCAGCTACGGTTGCGGTGGCAGTGGCCGTGTATTCCCAAGCAAAGGGATGCCATGGACAAAACCGCAGTTCACGGCGTGTTTCTTGAAAGTTGGCTCCTTGTATTTTCGGGGTTTCCTCCCATTCCAAGGAAGCAATCCAGTGCTGAGTTCTCGACTGGAGGGCTCTGCCCTCTGAGACGCAAGCCTCATCGTGCTGGACTAAAACAAACATCTTATCACTGGATGTTCCCCACAAGTCACAAGTGGACTGTACTAGCATCACCTGTCCAAGGTGGTAAGCAAGCCCAAAGGCAGAACTGCATATAACTGCATTAGCACCCCGGAGGCTCACGAAGAAAAAGAACTATTAAAGGCAGGATGATCACATTTCACATATTTAACTGCTTTTAATGGCTGAATCCAGGCAAATGATTCAATCTTATCCAACTATTCCGACTATATCAAAAACATGTTTTACAAAAATCTTGTGCTGGCTGGTGTCCTACAAGTTGACAAGCTAGATGATGAACTCCTACTGCTGGAATGATACAGTATCCCTTGTCCAAGCAGCTCTTGGCACCCGTGCTCTGGGGACAGCATGGCCGAGGGCGGTGTCTCGGTCGTAATTGCACCGCTTGGAGGTAGCGTGGTGGGCAGCAGACCCTGGCGCGTTTTGGGCATGTGAGCTGTGGAAATCGTCAAATATCGTCAACCTACTGGTTTTCTGGGGGGTTCTCGTTGTTTTGGCTTCCAGAATCATGGAAGGCGGGTGTCGGATGCCCACACACCTTTTTTGCCCTAAAGCCGCCTGGAGAAGGGTAGGCTCCGAGGTAAGGCCGTGTCTCCTGGAACGGGCTCCAGGCGGGGTTGAAACCACCGCAGGACATGCTAAGGATGCATCTTCTCAGGAATATGTTTTGCAATGTTTTGCAACTTTGCAAGTCGTGAACATGCTTGTGTTCATGGAATGGTATTTTCTGTTTGGATCTGTTGGAATCACCAATATCACACGTGCCAGCAACCCTTTCATCTGCCGGGCTCCTGTCGGTAAGCAGATTCCCGAGCTCATCCTTGATGATGTAGGACCTGACCATTCCAGTTGGTTCTCCAGCGTCTGGATACACTTACTGATCTCTCCCCAGTATTCCATCCCGCACCATGGCATCCAGCGCATGACAGCACCAGGGCTCCCTACACCAGGTGAGTTCGGTAGAGACATTTGATTCCAGGGTAGCGATCCGATTCCGTGTGCTCCTGACGTGACACCAGAGCGAAGGATATCAGCTTCGAAGATTGGAGCGTTCCGTATAGCTATCTGCATGCTATCTGCATGCAAGCAAAGGCTTGGAAGTTGATGCACATGACATCCTTGGCTGAACCCCAGATTCCGTTTCTTATGAAATCCAGAGAACCAGCAATGTTGAGGATCATCCTTCTTTCCCTTCTTTGACACACTCCTCCAAGAAGGTATAGGATTTGGCATCAAAGGAGCGCTGCGCTAGCCTTGGAAGTTTTAGTGAGCAATCGTCCAAGCTGTACAGGCAAGTTCCTATGACGAGAAGCCGAAAAAACATGAAACACAGTGGGAAAAAAAAACTGAAGTATCAATATATGTATAGTATATATATATATATTGAAGGCAGTCTGACTCGTATAACATTCAATCGCCAGCTCCAATTCCAAGTTCGCTAAAGGTTTACCAACCTCTGCCCTCAGCCAGTCGCATGGATCCCCGGCAGCTGTTTTCCAGTACGAGGCTTCATCGATAGATCTTCCTCGATGCAGTGGAGAGCTGACTCCTGGCTCGGAATCATGGATGGGTCATGATGGGTCCCTTGGATATTTTGGATATGCAGTTGGCCCCTGAAAGATCTGAAAGCACATGGGGTCCCACATGCGCTTTCGCACATGCCTCCAACCCCGTCAGAAAACTGCCAGACCTCCCAGGTTTCGCCCTGAAGCATGCGCCGAGTGAGCCTGGGAGAAAGACCAGCAATCAGTATGGATTCATGATAAACCATTGATCAACCCAGAGTTTGGAACCAAATGAGGAGTTGCTTCTGACAAATCTGAAGAGAGAAAATTTGACACAAAAGCTGCTAGAAGTGGATGCACAAGAGTCTCCTCCGAAATCAGTTTCAGGTTTCTTCTCTAAGATGTCGATGCCTGCATTCTCATTTGAGATCATTTGAGTATGTCATTATAGGATGGTATACCACATGAAGTCATCCTGGAGCCCATCAAATCTTTCGAAGACATTTAGAAAACGGAACAGCATCGATGTTCCGTAAGTCTGGGGTCACCAGCAGTTTCTGCTTGCCATTGCTGTTTTTGATCTCTTTCACCAGGACCTGCGCAAACGTTGTCTGCTTGGAGAAAATCATCTGGGCAAATGGAAAGGCACCTGGTAGCCACGTTCTCCGGGAGGCCTCCACTTCAAACGCACCACCTGAGTTCTCCAGGTGGCTGCACTCGGAATACGACTGAAATGTGCAACCAGTCACAGGATGTCACAGGGATGTGGATGGCTTTATTGCCGAAAATGGGTTGCTTGCGACTATTCATCTAGCTGAAAACACACCCGACACCATTCATCCATTGAAATGGCGACCGACTCGTCTTCGTTTAGCTGCACCATTATCAACATAAAGTGGAAGCAAAAGCAGAGAACGTGGCCCAGGTATTTGACCTTCGCTCCATTTCTGTAGCTTCAGCCCTTCTTTTTGCTTTCAAGTTCAGGGGTGAAAATCTGTCAGAAAATTTGGGTGAGACGAATCAATGACAGCTGGCAAAAGAGCAAAAAGCTTGGGTCACCTGGAGCTTTATCAGCAGAATCTACTTGCCAAAGTCAAAGCTGGTCCTCTCAAAATTCGAGGGGTGAGAGTTGATGTCCTGATCCCAAGCCCTGCAGGGAAAATACCTGTCAGCTTCAAGCCCGGTGCAAGAGGCTTCATTCGACGCAAAACATTGGAGTTCTCGGAGTTCAGCTTCTCTCCGCATACTCCACCTGGACTCCATCCTGCGAAGCTCCCAGGGCGGTGGCCCCTACAAGCTCCGGGTACAGTATTGTCTTTGTTAATGGCACGGCATGGCACGACTGGCAGTAGCCCTGGCACAAAGCAACAAAATGTTGAAGCCAATCAACACAAGGCAGGGAGCTTCTTGGCAAGAATCCGAGAGTGATTAGTAATGATTAGTACTGTAGAATCTGCACTGCAAAGAGAGAAAGTACATTCAAGCTGCAGCAAGTTCCCAATGACTAGAAAAATATAAAAAAATATCAAAACATGGATGAAATCTAAGAAATCACGTAGCAGGAAGCCATTTTGATCCATTTTGCATCACCTGACCACCCAGGCAGCCCATCGGTCCATGGGGTTGAACTCTGACTTGCCCATGGGGTCATGGATCACCAAATCAAAGGGCACCGGCACATCGAGCAGTTCTCGAAGGTTCACCACGGTCTTCATGATCTCGGCCTCCGAAAATGTGGGTGTAGTGAAGATGGAAAAGAACAAATTCTCGGAAGAGTGTAGAGGCTACTGACCATTATTTCAAAACATAATCTAATATACAACACATATATATATACATGCAGTTTTATATATATATATACACATGTACATATATATATACACATGTACATATATATATATATATACAAATATATATATATTATATATATATACTATATTTATACTGTAACCATAGTATAAACAGATCTATAAACAGATCTCTACACAGGCAGATCGATCTCTGCCGATACCACAAGATAGTTGGCAGCCTTTGTTGCCAGGTCTTCCACCAAGCCCTCTGCATGCATCTCGATCCTCAGCGCCGACGAAGAAGTGAACAGCACAGCTTCTGCAGCCAAAACCAAGGAACCTATGCAAAGCTGATAGCTTTCAGAGGTCAAGGTTCATCATCACATAAATAAATATATATATATACATACGGTAGTCACACTTTGTGCTCCAGGGAAAAGGCAAAGGTTGCTGCAGGCTATGTCTCTCAGGCAAGGAGCTCGTCTACAGCTCTGATGAGTGATTGTACAGAGTGTCGATCTGCCGCTTTGCAATGGGACCTCGAGATCACCATCCTGGTTTGGAGACACCGTCCAAAACGAATCGCAGGTCATGTCTAAAAGCGAAATCTGATTGCGTTCAGATTCGTTGTAGATTAGGCATTTTTGGGGCTTGCTCCCTCTCTAGGCACGGCTTTGAGAAGTCTAATTGAGTCCACGTCGACGTCCAATCGCTTGAGGACATGTGCATCAAACACAAAGATGCGTTGATTGATCAACCCTAGCTTTAGTAAACAGCATTCAGCAGTGTAAGACACCCCTTAAGAAGCTCTCGTCCTTAAAAAAGAATAGCTATTGTATACTATTGTGACAGTCTGTTGCCAGTAGAAAAATTGACCGCGTTCACTGGCCTACACAGTGTACGTAGGAACAATCCTATTTTTTGGTGAAGTGATGTTGTAACATGTTGTGACTGATAAACTGCAACAAACCTATACAAACCTGCCTTTCAAGTTTTTCATCTTATCTCCACATGCTTTTCCTCGAACAGGACCCAAGGGCATCCAGGGTCTTAGTGAGGTTCCCGATGGTTCCCGTTACCGAGATGCGGATTTCAAATTCCAGATGCGGCAGCTCCAAATCGGCGTTCCTTGGCCAAGCGAACATAAGCGTTTCAAGCGAAACTGGGTTCAGAAAAAGAATTGTTAAATGGTTGGGTCCTCAATTTAGTGAATGAGTGGTAATGCTGATCATCATTAACCATCGTTTCCTCAAAGGTGCAAAATCTTTACTTGGCTGCGCCAAGGGTCCCGTCTTTCAGCAAAGTTGTGTCCTGAGTATTCAGGATCAACGCAAACGAAACATACCCAAGTCACGAGCAAAAGCCAAGCCCGATCACATGAGAAGGAAATTATCTCATAAGCTGACCACAAATCAGTGCCCAACTAATCACCAAACCAAGTCTGGACCCTCATTCACTCGAATTCAACATGGAAGCCTCAAATACAAAAATGTCCAGTCTCAATAGTCAGTTTCCACACAAAGGAGGTTCTCATCATCCATCAGAAATCGGAAAACGATGGCAAAACAATGTTTAAACTTGAGTTCATTGGCACTTCAGATATCTCAAGAATCCATCAAGAACTATGGTTCATTAATGTTCATTAATGTTCATTAATAATCATTAATAATCATTAATAATCATTAATAATTTAATCATTAATAATCATTAATAATCATTGATTTCATTGGCTCAAAATATCTTAAGATGTGGCACTAGCAGCTGCTGAGAGGAGGTGATGCGCAGCGTCAGCTTCTGCGGCCGCGAAGGCGCCAGGGCGGCATCTGCGATGCGTAGCATGGCCTTCCCCTGGCACCCCAGTGGATTGTGGCCATGGGACCATTGATTAAAATCCGGAACATCCCTAAAACTGCCTCATTTGGAAAACTAGGGTAGGGTCCTGGTTCGGACCCATCCCCTTGTAGCAAATGTTGCTTTTTGAGGTGAAATGTGAAAGCAGGATTCACCTGGTGGGAAAATCCAATGAAAAATAGATCTTCTACTTCTATTTATTGCGGATCCAGTCAATGCCCAGCACTTTATGGCACCTCAATCTGCTTGACCTCAAAGTGTGGAAATGCGGCTAGGAAGTCCTGAAAGGTAGCAATTGTTCCGCAAAAGTTTCCCTTCCAGGTTGGGGAATAAGGAGTTCCGTGGGGTTCCACCGTGACTTGCAACCACTCCCCACGTCTCCTCGAAGGAGCCATGGATGGCCTTGGGATTTCCAAAGTGTCTCGGCACCGACTCAGATTGGGCAGATTGGGTGCTTTGGGAATACTCAGATTGCTTGTAATGTTTGTACTTTATGTATATTTTTGTAATTGATTCACACCCTGGGCCTGTGATCCTTTTGGTACCATGATTCCCATGATCCTTAAACCCCCTTAAATCCTCCAATCTCATATCTGCAACTGCTGGGTAAGCATTTGTACAAGTAGGACAAGGCCAAGCGACATCCTCGAACTCCTCTTCGTCTTCATAGCCAAGATCCATGAAGAGAAAATTCCTTGGCCAACCACCTGCTACCTTCCGTTTCCAACACACCATTGCCACACAATATGGAACTATGTCCAACAGCTCCAAAGCACCATCTGAATTGTTGAGCCATCCTCAATTCCCAAAGAAGATGGAAGGACATGATTGAGTCATCAGCTCTCAGACTCATAGTTTGAATTTTAAAAGACGGCAGCTCATGGAAGTATAAGTGAACCCTCTATTTGCAGCAAGTAGATGTCCGCATTTGAAACCCTCAATCCCAGCCATTGCAACCGAACAAACAGAGGATTTTTCGTGCTGGTGAACCTGGCGACCATCTCCCAGTTCAAGGCCCAGGTTCTTGATCCCAGCCAAAGGCAGCCACTCAACACCTTGCCACGAGGCGGGTGCGGATGACAGCTTTGGCATGGGCCCCGTATGGCCCCGTCTTCTCTGGTGCTCAAGTCACTCCGAGTTACTCCCAAGATCTCCCAAGCTTTTACATCATGCATCATGGATCATCATGGCACATGGTTGTGCCCGGCAGGGAAGCGAGCATGCTACCTGTTGATCCTATGTCCAATGATCCCAAAGAGACGCTACAATACCAACTGCTAAATACAATCTGTGCCGCGAATGGACTACCAAAGCTGTTTGGAAAGTATCAAAAACTGGTTATTGGCCGTGATGTTGTATTTTGTGTTCCAATCTTCCCCAAATGATCTGTTCTTTCACACAGCGACCAGCTTGCTCCTTGGCTGTGGAATACCATGCTTCCACTTCGCTCCTTGGAGGTGCTGAAACACTGTACGGATCGAAATGGCGGAGCCCAAAACTATGCTCACTTTCAATTTTTGACATGAAGTCCGGCAAAGTCTTGAGCAAGGTCTTGAGCACATCATGTCACTCATGTCCATCACCAAGTCTCAAGATTCGCTCTTGCTCTTGATGCGAGACATCCACCTCACACCAGAAATCTACCAGTGCAGCACTGGAGCTCTTTGGACCCTGCCTTGAACCCGGCCAACATGGAGCCGCTGCAGGACCCACTGAGGCAATGGGGGCAGCAACCAAAGCGGGTGTCGTCTCAAATGACGCGAGTTGTTGTGGATGTGGAGAATTTGGAATGTGATCTATTTATGATTTAATTTATGATCTATTTATGATATAATTATTTATGATCTATTTATGATCTATGTACAGTATATCTATTTATATCTATGTTCGGAGCTGGCATGTCAAATGCAAAGGATTATCCATTCTCCCGGCTGCTGAGTTTATAACTGGTTCTTTGAGTATATGTTCCAAAGTCTCTTGTATCAGTATCTAAAGATATCCAAAGATATCCAAAGTATCGGATAGCTATGGGATAGGTACGGATCGCTCAGGGTTGCACGTTTGGGTTTATGGAGGGGATCAGGTCCTGGCCGACATGTTTGATGGCAAATGGCTGCAGCAACAGGCAACTGAAGGATCACCCCCAAAGGGCTAGTATCTTTGATGTCTTTGGGAGCAACAGGAGAACAAACAGTTCATCTACGGTCCGATGATCAAAATCTTTAAATTTGGCGTCTCAGTATGCCTATCTCCATACAGCTTGATCCCAAGCAGCACCACTTGCAGCTTTTCTATAAACTTACCGTGCGTTACCACTTTCACAACGCAGCGACTGATTTGTCTGAGGGCCAACCGTAGAGTCTGCCAAACGCAGCGGCTTCCCACCAGACATGTATAGCAAAGATTCCTGCAGTGTCAGCTGCATTGGTAGACAAGTCCTCACACTAGCAACCAAACCGGCCTGTTCCTTGCTTATCATGGCATATAGTCATATAGTGATTGTCTACACTGTCCTTCAAGCTTTTCCATGAGTTACCTCCCTATCTGTGACCTCACGTGGCGCGCTGCCCAGCTTCCTTGGCGGTCAGATCCAGCCAGAAATCCCGCAGTGGCCGGTACCGCTCTGTACCGTACTTCTCCACGTCGATTCCTGAGCCGCACAAAGCACAAAGCGTTTTTTCGAAACCCCTGGGATGATCAACATCTGCTGCCTGATTGAGCGCAGCCCAAGATAGGCTTTGCCAGAAAGTGTTCTTGTGACTCTGCCAGCAGACCCTTGTCCCATTGATTCAGATGATTACTGATGATTGGGCCTCTGCAAAAAATCAATGTGAAGGCAGGTTCAAAGCATCCCCAACCAATGTCTTCACAAACTCCTAATTTATTTTCTGCTAATGTAAATCCAACTCTTTTGTGGAACCATACTGTGGATAGCTGTGGATATCTATGGATTTGTAGAATACCCTGCAGGACATTCTGAACTTCGGAAAGTCCCCAGGGACCCGGGCCACAGCGCCGGAGCAGAATCATCAGCGCGGTCTCTGTGGGCGGAAACTGTACAACGCCTTCCTTCCTGAGCTGAGCCAAGTGCTGGACTGCACAGACCTGAAAAATCTCCACAAAAAGATACTGTAGATAATCCGACGATAATGCTTCCACCGGCAAGATGAATAGCAGATCCTGTTGAGAAGGCCCTAAATCGATAGTAGTAGTGGAAAAGTTCATGGAACTTCTTGGTCTTTGGAGTTCACTGTGAGAGGAGCAGCAGGTGCTGATAGGCTGCTGGAATCCAAGTGGCTGGAAGGCATACTTTGCCCAACGTTCGTCCGCCGTCGCCTGGGGCAGGGCACAACATTTTGGGTCAAAATTTGGGTCAAAAAGTATTGAGAAGTGCGACATCATTGCATCATTGTGTAGCGGGGAGACATCCTATGCGACTGAGATATGGTACATACATCTACACTACATAGATAGAGAGAGAGAGAGACACTGGTCCCCTACTGGCTCTGGCAAGGGTCATGTGGATGGCACTTGCTTGCAAACCCTGCCGCCTCTCCCAAGTTCACAAAGCGCTGCAGCTTCTGGGCTTCAAAGAATGGCACCCAGCGCCTTAGTGCGAATGGAATTTAAGAGTCTGGGAAATCCATCCATGGCATGGATGGATCCCAGTGCTTTTACTTTCTATGTCGATCGGTGATCATCCAGGGCTGGGGCCAAAAGATTTTCTTTCCGCTTCCATTCCTGCAGCTGCAGTAAACGAACGGGATCCACCGCCCCAGCCACCAGCAAGAAATACAACAGAACCATAACAACAAAAAAGAACAACAGCAACACCCACAACCACAACACCAAATGCCATCGCCGGCACCACCACCACCACCACCACCACCACCACCATCAGCGGTGTGACTACTGCTACTTCTCCACCGCTGTGAAGGTACCAGCAATAAATGAGCAAAGCCAAGGAACAAGAACACCCAGAGCAAGAGCAAGTGGAACAGGTTAGAAGAAGCACAGAACTATCCTCCCTTGGGTGAAAAGGAACATCGATCATCTACATATTTTGACAGTTGATGCAACACACCAAGAACTTCAGGACATACACCTTGGATCCCTCGTGCTCTTGACATGGTTTGTCAATGCCCCCAACAGACATGGCTTCTGTTGGAGGTCATCCAGTATCGTCCAACATCTTTCACAGCAACCCTCCAGAAGCTGCCCCCCACCTGCTCTTGGTGGTAAAGTGGCTGTTGAAAGGCAAAGCCTTGGGTCCAAAAAAAGTCCCAGCGGTTCCTGGTGGCACAACTGGACCATTGGAAAATCGGCCATGGCCCTGACGCTGCCAGGTGAGCTGGATGCGGGTGATGACTCTGGATCCGGGAAGATGAGGCCTCAGGTTGCATAGGCTGATGACTTCCTATCTGATGGTGCAGTTTCCACGAAAATTCTCTGTGTTTTCCATTTTTGCTGATAGGGCAACTTCAATGTACCAAAAATGTGGAGGAACCAGAAGAAAAACCTTGAAGAGAGTCTACAATCTACAAGAGGAACCATCATCATACCATCATGACTGCTACCCAGTCAAACCTCCATGCCACCGCCCCATCCACAAGAATACCCTCAGTGCCATGGCCATTCTCTCGCAAGGCATCACCACGGTGGGGTTCTACCTCCCAGCCTGGTGAGATCTCCGGTGAGTACCCAGATGGTATACAGCGCAGCCACTAACACCACTGGATTTGCATGTTGTAGCAGATTGTGTCCAAGTTAGCAAAAAAAGAAAAGTAGCTGTTTCCTTCGGCCAAGACTCATTGCATCAAATTCTGAGATCGCTGCTCACCATGTGTGTGCGGTACACAGAAGGCATGCCAGGATACCTGTTGCACAGGAATCCTTTTGGCCATTGGAGGCTAGGCCATCAAACAAAGGAGTCATCTTGATCATGGAAGTACGGTACCACTCTCAAACTTGAGACCCTCAACAGTTAATTTTCAGGGGAACCTATTGAGAATATACCCCTTGGCCGGTGCCACATCCTCCCATCCCAAGGCCCACGAGGGTGACATCGTTGTCTCTGTCAGCACCTGACAGGGGCGATACTGCTGCAGTTGACACGTCACTATCCCTAGCAGCAAAGATGGTTCATACTAAGTTCGTACATACCATACAAACCCTCCATCAGAAATAGTGTGGGCTCACTTCAATTTGCCTTGTAGCTGCGTCCGAAGTTTGGATGTCAATTCCAAGCCACCAACGCAACCCCTTTGCAAGTGGCTAATTCTTCCGCAAGCTGCTCATTTTTAACTCGCTTCACTGCAAGGTTTATGCTTAACCCCTAGAGGCAGTAGAGTCCTCTCATGTTCTCTCCTCATACTGTACGCGGCCATGTCTCTCAGTGTAAAGCCTCTCACTTCGCGCTTCTGCCAGTCGCCCCCCGAAAGCAGAATGGATGTGTTTCAGCACAGCCCGCTGCAGGGCAACAGCAGGAGCTGCGTCAAAACATTTCTCAAGAAATCTTGCTGAAACTGGTTGCTCCTGCCGTGCCGCAGCGGTGCCACATCCACACTGTCATCATGCGACTTTGCAAAGTGTTCAGTGCCACAGGAGATCTTTGAGTTGTCACCAGCAGATGTGGATCCATATTGTCAGGCAACTTCTTGACTCTAAGGTCTCTAAAGATGGGATACTCACTGAAGATGTTGCAGGCTCTCAGACAATACATTATCTCATATACATTGTGGCTATGCGCTATGGGTCAAAACCCTGCTTGCACTAGTTTCCACAAAATAGCTGCTATGTATGCTAATCCTTACATTTATACGGCCAGGGCATGAACCATCCCTAAATCAGGTAAGTCTTCATATGTGTGTTGCTGGTGTTGCTGGTGTTGCTGGTGTTGCTGGTGTTGCTGGTGTTGCTGGTGTTGCTTTAATCTCCATATTTTCTTTGGATTTTTGGAAGCTGTGGTGACCCCCAGTGGCGAGTGGCTCGTCCAAAAGGGCGCTGCAGATCGGTCCCCAATGGACGGTCGGCGCAGCGAAATCGCGGTCAAAACGCCCAAGATTCGAAGGGGTGGGAAGAGACTTGAAGAGACTGCGGGAATTGATGGAATTGATGGAATTGATGGGCTTTTCATAACTGAAGTTTTAGTCATCACTTTGTTCATTGTTGTTATGATATGTTGTGTTTTCACATTCTTGAATCCATCGGAAATCGACGATGGGAATCTTGGATTCACCACCCCCGCCGCGCGGCTCCGGTTCCAATCTGCTCATTGGCTCATTCAGTCTTGGCCTGAAGAAGGACTGGCATTGGTCACTGTGAAGGGAAAGTTTCCAGGAAAGCATGTGTTTTTGCTATGCAAAGATGAGGGTTCTTCTAAATTTCCGTATATGTGTATGCGCTTATCATATTGTGCATGTCTATATATATAATATAACATATGAATTACATACGTATGTATTTGAACGCCATTTGCTGCTGGGTTAGGCTGCTTAGCTTTGACGATGGCACATATGCACGTTCGTTCATGTTGAAGGTATAATATCATCTACTGTCAACCTTCTGCCCATATCAACCCACTTCGATCCACACTGCATTCCGCACAATCCCAGACCTTCTTGGCATCGGGTTCCTTCACTTCACCATCATCCTCGCCCTCTCCATCATCCTCAAGGTCCTCCTGAATGCAGTGACCAGCTGGAGAATTGTCGCAAAGTACAGAAGAAGCATCTGATACAATCACGGAAGAAAGGACTTGCCCAGGAAGAGATCTTCTGCGAAGTAGAAGTTGGATTCAAAATTCAAATCTATGCTGGCTTTCAGGCTGTGATCATGTTGGGAATCATATTGTATTAATATATATATATTTTTATGATTGCAAATGGCTACCCATGGCTAAACTCGCTGCTGTTGTCTTCACTGCGATGCCATTGCCACCTCTTCTTCGCCCTCGAAGCCCAGCAACTCTTCCTCACCATCCTCCATGAAGCGCTCCTTCAAGAGGCTTCTGTGGGGGGATTCCCCAAACATATTACTGTTTATAACTGAAGAAAATCGAACCGGTCCATATGATAAATGATGGATAAATGAGGATAGGTGTTTCCAATCTGCTTAAATGTTCACAGCGGAGCTGACCGTTCAGTTGATCTGTCTGCGGGGGGGAAATGATGGTAAACTCGGGGATTTTGGGGTTCCCAACTTTGAGACAAGCCGTTGCAGGTACCAAAACTGCAATACTCAGCCAGGGAGAGACAGAGATGTTGGCCATTTTGTCTCATTTTGACCCACAGCCTGTAACCACATCACAACATTCTAACGCGCCTCATCCAAGACTTTCCGCCATTCGGCAGCGGTCATCTTGGGTGGTCGTTCCTGAATGGTTGATCAATGCCAAAGGAAAGTCATAGAAAGACTTGGGGTCTGCTATGGCAGCTATGGCAGCTATGGCTTCCTCTGCATCTTTTTTTGAGTCTCCGGACACTCTCCGGGAGCTTCTCCTTGTTCTTTTCGAAAAAGTCATAGGCCTACGATGCCAGGAACCTGTCTCTAGATATATGTTCACGGATATATCGTCAAAAAGCTGCATCAACGCCCAACTCTACTTTCAGTGGCCTTCACGAAGGCTTCAGCTGTGCCTGGCTGTGGCAGTGGAAGTCTATGACACAGAAAGAGGTTGGGCACCAAATTCATGCGTTTTCCGCGTTTCATTGACAGTCGAGTTGGGGATCTTTGGGGTCCAAAGCACTCCAAAGTTGTCACTTTTTGCTACAGAATTCCTGAAGGCATTGAGAAAACCCGGCATCTCCCCAAGTGAGAGGTACAGCCGCCTTTGGGTCCCAGCTTCTCCAGCATTTGTTCCACATCATCAAACTCCTGCGCGACGGCTGATGTAAGAATCCTGCAGCTGCGGGAAATATCTCAGATCCCACCGGTCCACAGGATTCGTTCAATTTCCTCTATAAGCATCGCAGCATCACCTAATAAGGGGAATTGGCCACTATTGCCACTATCAAGACCCTCACATGGAGGAAATATCCGGACCCACGGATCCCTCCACGGCCCAGAGCACCTCGCCAACTCCCCGCATGTCCACTGGGATCATCATCTCGTCGTCAGGAACCTGTTCCAATGGCTCAGCGGTTGCAGCAACAAGCAGAGGAGCAGAGAAAGCCGAAAGTCTTAAACCGTCAAACCATCAAAGCATCTTTGCCTCTGAAAGTCTTGCAAAACTGTAACAAAAACGCAGGATGATACTTCAGTTCTGGTCGCCTCACGTTCACCATGCTTAGGCAACACAATCAGGTGGTTTGCCAGTGGTCTAGCTGATCTAAATGGCCTTCTCGGGCAGTGTGAGCTGGTTCACCAACTCTTCACCGATATCCTCATTCTTCCTGAGACAGGAAATGTGCTGCAGTATGTCTTCGCATCCCTGCAGATGGAAAAGCACAACTACTTTGTGCACCCGTTTTTCCCAATGGCTGAAGAGGAAGAAGAATCTTATGCCGGACTCATCCACTGCTGAGTGAGATAACGAACCACTGATGCAGTTGAGTGTCGTCAGCTTCCTTAGTTGCCCATGGTGTGCTAAGTATGGTGGTTTTTGAAGATCGTAGCCTGCTGCCCCTGGTCCTGTTATTCTTAGAGAGATATGAGATACTGGTCGAAGGAAGTTTAGAAGTCAAACTTCCGACAATATGGACAGATGAAAAGCAGAGTAGGGCAGAGGCAGAGAGAAGAGAAAGATTAGAAGAGAGAAGAGTAGAAGAGAAAGAGTAAGAGGACAGAAGATACAGATGCGCGAAAAGGTAGGAAAGTCGCGAAACACTGTGTTTTTCCAATGATTTGTGGCTCAGGAGGGTCGAAAAGTAGGCTCGCTAAAGCGGCGGGTGCGGAGCCAGCTGGCCACAGGAGCGATGAAAAATTGCACGCCGTTGTGGCGCGAAGCACATTTCCAAGTCAAAAGGTACAAAACACCGCAGGTCCGGACCACTTTTGGAAGTTGAGATGTCGAAAAAGTGCGCGCCGTTGTGGCGCGAAGCACATTTCCAAGTCAAAATGTACAAAACACACCATGGTCGTTGGAAGTTGCGATGTCGAAAAAGTGCACGCCGTTGTGGCGCGAAGCACATTTCCAAGTCAAAAGTGTTAAAAACTGGCGGTCTCGGACCACTTTTGGAAGTTGAGATGTCGAAAAAGTGCACGCCAATGTGGCGGGAAGCACATTTCGAAGTCAAAATGTACAAAACACTAGGGTTTCGGACCACTTTTGGAAGTCCAGATGTTGAAAAAGTGCACGCCGTTGTGGCGTGAAGCACATTTTGAAGTCAAAATGTTGAAAACACCAGGGGTTCGGACAACTTTTGGAGGTTCAGATGTCGCTTCGCTTCACTACACTACACTACATTACACTACACTACACTACGCTACACTACGCTCCACTACACTACACTACATTACACAACATTACAACTACAACTACACAACTACACTCCACTACAATCCACTACACTAAATTACACTACACTACACTACATTACACTACACTCCACTACACTACACTACATTACACTACACTGCACTACCTTCCACTACACTTCACTACATTACACTACACTCCACTACACTACAACTACAACTACAACTACACAACTACACTCCACTACACATCCACTACACTCCACTACACTAAATTACACTACACTACACTACTACACTACACTCCACTACACTACAACTACACTACAACTACACAACTACTACAATACACACTACACTCCACTACACTAAATACACTACACTACACTACATTACACTACACTCCACTACACTACACTACATTACACTACACTACCTTCCACTACTTCACTACATTACACTACACTACACTCCACTACACTACAACTACAACTACACAACTACACTCCACTACCACTACACTACACTACATTGCACTACACTACACTACATTCCACTACACTCCACTACACTACACTACATTACGCTACACTACATTACACTGAATGACACTGCACCACAGATAGACAGGTAGACAGATAGACAGATAGACAGATAGATAGACAGACAGGTAGACAGCTAGACAGATAGACAGATGAAAGAGAGAGAGCGAGAGAGATAGATAGATAGATAGATAGATAGATAGATAGATAGATAGATAGGTAGATAGGTACATAGGTAGATAGGTAGATAGGTAGATAGGTAGATAGGTAATGAGATGAAAGAGAGAAAGAGAGAGATAGATAGATCGATAGATAGATAGATACATAGAAGATAGGCTGGTAGGTAAGTAGATAGTCAGAGAAAGAGAGAGAAAGAGAGGAGACCTCAAGCACCTTTCGGTCCATCAGTGGATTCGCTCTGCCATCCCTGATTCACAGCAGCCAATCTCTCCTATAGGTTTCCTATTTTTGAAACTTCCGCCACCGCCTTGTGCGGTACTACTGGTAATGTATCCCTTACACATGCTGAATGGAACTTGTACAGTATCTGTGTTGAAGCTCATAACGAAGTCTTAGGTAAATCTGTAAAGGAAAATATTAATGTTCCATCCAAAAAAAATTACGGGGAATATGAATTTCATGTAGCCCCATCCATTGGCTGGTGCAGGAATCATTCTCTGGGCTGGCAACTTGCAGATGGGGAAAGGTTAACCATGACTTTTCATGATGTGTCCACTCCCAAATGATCAACCATCAAATTCCACCACTTCGTATCCTTTCAGCGCAAAAAGAATGTCCCCTGGGAATATGGTTTGGCGGTGATTTCAAACTGGACTAGTACTCCTCCCTCCAATACCTGCAAACAAGCAACTCTTTCACGGTGTTCAAAGTCTTCTCGCACACGTAGAAGATATCCTGATACGCAACACATCATCCCATTTGAAACTCAGAAAGGCAGTGCATCAAGGCCAGGCCGCAGTTCAAAACCCACAGAAGTTTCATCAAAAATTGGGACCTGAAAATCATCGAAAGAAAATCAAGAATGGTGTATCTCAGTAGGAAAACCCTGGATTTCACAGCGGCAATAGCTCAAGGATCCGCAGATGTGGCACCTGCTGTTCATCCTCTGTAGTGTCCGCCATGGTGTATCTGTCTGGAACTGTGATTTACGGAGCACCAAAAAAAAGGAGCAAGAAATGGTGGGTAGGGACAGGTATGAAATCCGATTCGAGATGAAAGTTCAAGGCTAAGGATGCCGAAATGATGAAACAGCATGCCACTGTATTGGACGAGACCCTCTGAGCCAGTGTGCGGCAATGTAAAGAAATGTGACAAATGCCCCGCTAGTACGTCTCCACAGGCAGTTTGAACAAAAAGCACCTGTGGGCCTGGGGTTGAATATTTGCCCGCGCAAGAATGTCGTGTTTGTTTACTGCACTCACAAGGCGATGTGGTGGTGGCCCATTGCCATCAGTTGGGTCATGGACCGTCATGGACCGTCATGGACCGTCATGGACCGTCATGAACCCTTTCCATTCTGCGGATTTCTGCAGCACCCGTCTTTTTCCGTCTTCAATACGTTCGAGACAACTTGGCATTACCCAACCCCAGGGAAACGCGGCTCTCGGTCCAAACTGTTCAGAGCTCACTCAGTTTTGGCCTGTGTCAGAAGGAAAGTCATCCCCATTTTGTCCACTTCATTGGCAAGCCTAGCTGCGAAACCTGGAAAAGATGAAAAGGTCCTTGGTAGTTCTTCCCCTTGCCCTGTATATCTTGGACCTACTCACATTGTCGCTTGAAGTGAACAACATCTGTTTGCACTCCGCAACCACATGCGGGAGGGAAGCAACAATTTGAGAAGCCAGCTCCGAAAGCATCACCACACCTCATTGAAAATAACGACTCCCAGCGGTGTCCCACGGCTTCTATACGGCCTTCTTGGCATCGGGTTCCTTCACTTCACCATCGCCCTCTCCATCTTCATCATCCAAGAGCTCCTGTAGTGATGATTTCCCTTGACAGAGACTTGAAAGTTGTCCACCAAGATGGATAACCTTCAATTGCAAAGACGTACCAAGATTTTGAGAAACTTCACGTTTCATCAAGTTTCCAAAGCACGAAGTCAAGTACAAGCAACTGCTTGAAACATACAGTTTGCCACAAGTCTATACATTTCCCTTTGAAACCTTCCTCGTACTAGACACCCTGCGTAAACGGCATCACGCTGCAGCTGCCTCCTCTTCACCCTCAAAACCGAGCAACTCTTCTTCGCCTTCTTCCATCATCCTTTCCTACGGCAAAAATCGCTGTTGATATTCATGAATATTCACATTGTTCACCAAATCTACGGCAGCTCCTCGTCCAAAACCTTCCGCCACTCTGCAGCTGTCATTGCAGGCGGACGTTCCTGGGAAGTGGCCGCTGGAAACAAGCTTAGATTTAGATAGCTATACTATGCTACACTAGTATAATCTATAGATCTATAGTATACTACTATAGCCTATAGTCTCAAATGAGAAGACAGGCAGCTTGCAATTTTGGGGAAATATGTGTATCTTGCTCGCTTGCATTGCTCAGGCAACCTTCAAAAACCGAGAAATCTTTGTCCACAAGGACTTTTCCAATGATCAGGTAGTTGGAAGACACAAGCTGTAGGTAGCGACGTAGCACCTCCAACTTGCAACAGAAGCGATACAGTACATTGATTTTATTTGAATGACTGTGTCTCAAAATACGCTGCCACAAAATCGCATGGTAGTTTGAAGACTTAATGTTCTCCTTAAAGTGGCAATGGAATCAGGGATTCCCCATTTTGAGACGCACATCAGGATACATCCATTGAGCTCCGAACGTTTTCCGGGAGTTTCTCCTTGTTCTTCTCGAAAAAGTCATGGGCCTGCAACAGAGACAGACTGATTGGATAAATGTCCGAATACTACCGTCAGAAAAGGTGTCCAAAAATGGGGTTACCCCTGAGATCCAATGGTTTATTTCGTAACATTATGTAACATAATTGTTTTCCCGATGTTATTAATAACATTGATATAATATTGATATTATTACCATTTTGGGGTATACCATTTCTCAACAAATCCAAATGTACGGGGCGACTTAAGGGATGGTGAAACCCCCCATTTGCCACAGCCTTCACGAAAGCTTCAGCAGTGCCTGACAAGGATAGATGAAGGTCAACAACCTTCCACAACATGCACAATCCAAAGGTAGATCACGATTTGGCTTAGATTTGAACAGCAAATCAACAACTCAGTTGTGCTGAATTCATCTTCAATTCGCTGCCTTTGGATCCCAGTTTCTCCAGCATTTGCTCCACATCGTCGAAGTCCTGCAGCATTCAGCAACACAACAAACAGAACACCAAAGGGACCCTGTTTATACTCAATCAACAAAAACTGTTTTGTGATCATCGTCTCCTGGCAAAAGATCTCTTTGAAATACTAGTTACTAGATCAAGAGTGAATCAGAGGCAAAAGTCCCTGAGGAGTCCCTGAAAAGGGCTCAAAAAGCATCCAATGAGTACACAGCGGCTTGGCACAGGAGCATCCGACTTTAGCACAAAAACCGCGATCGAAAGATATCGGAAGCATGGCGAAGACAGCCCCACCTCACCGACGCCCCGCATGTCCACAGGGATCATCATCTCCTCGTCACCCACCTGGTGGGTGGCACACGCTGTCCACAGGCTGTCCGTCTGTGATGTGATCAATGCAGGCCTTCTCTGGCAGTGTGAGCTCGTTCACCAAATCCTCAGTGATATCCTCACCCTTCCTTAGAGCATTTTGAGCACTGCAGAGTCACAGGCAATGTTTGAACTGCTCGCAAGTAGCTGAAAGCTTTACTGCCCGCTCCTCACCTGGAAAAGAGTGGAAAAGCATGTTCCTCAAGACCTTTTGTTTGAAGTTGATGATTCTTTTGACCTTTCCACGCAGTAGAGCCCCGAGACTCTACAAACATCCACAGCACCATCCCAAAAGGTTTAGCGCTAGCAGGATCCTTTCTGTTGGGTTCCCAACACGCACCCAAAACCAAGCTGTAAAACCGAGTCGAGCAACTTCAGCTTCCTCAGCTGCAAAACGAGAGAGTAATCAACATGAGGAAAATTGCTTAGATTCTGCCACTTGTATCAATTTGTAGGTTCTGGCTTAAATCAAAATGTTCTGAAAAGTCAGGGAACCTTTTGGGTCCATCTCTTTTCCAGAGCTCACCCAACAACTAACAAATGGCCTGGTTTTGGAATTCCATACTGCAGAGAAATATCGGAAATTCGGGGACAATTCTGATGTGCATGCAGTTTTGAGGTATGCTGATGTTCTCTGGATGAAGTGCAAGGATAAGCCAACTCTACCAGGGCAGGAAGAAGAAACATTAAGAAACTGGACAAGGATCAGGGTGTCGCCTTTACTATCCATCCCAAAGTGGAACACCAAGTCCATTGACCCTGTCATATGCCATGGTTTCCACCAAGGAACTCCTTCACTGCATTCAAAGTCTTCTCACACACGTAGAAGATGTCCTGCCGTGGGCATCTGCACCACACTACCCCCAGGCCCCCATGAAGCGGCCTGGGCTCGCTTTCTGATGTTACCCAAATGTGATGCTTAGGGTCGTGGCCAGTCATCAAAACAAATCAAGACACCAAAAAAAAACAACCAAGAACCTCTGATTTTGGGTTCTCCGAATTTTTTGGATCGCTCCTGCTGCTCCACATCGGCTACCGTTGTATCGGCCATGGCTGAGCTGTGGATAATTTTCTACTCACGGAGCGGCAAAAAAAACGAGCACACAAAAAAAAAAAACGTAGGAAGTGACGTGATATCCTGGCAAATGTGCCAACATGACGCAGCATGCCGCTTTGTTGGACGAGACCCTTATAGAGCACAAACGCAGCCAAGGGCCAACATGAAAAAACGACATTGGGGAAGAGGCTCAAAGGAAAATGTGACTGTTCTGAACTCTGAAGTTGAGTCTCCTGGATAGAAGCACAGAGTCCTGCACGTTCTCCGGGAATTGACTTTGGTTTTAATTCCGCTTGTGTGACTCAGGGATTTCCGGTTGGATGAAGCAAAAACAGAACGAACTTGAGGTTCTATTCTTCTCCCAGACCTTCGGTTTGACATTGAGCCATTTTTCTCTCATCACTGCATCACTCAAGCTCAGAACTTCTGGAAGTTGAGTCAGGACACAACATCTGCTGCACTTTCGCTGTCGTCCGCTGTCCAAGAAGCAGAGATCAGAGCGGTCATAGTCTCCTCTTCTGAAGCTGCAAGAAAAGAGTCTTTGCATCAGAAAAATTGATGGGAATGCTTTGTAGATGTTCTACCAATACATACATACATTTAATTACATTTAATTACATATATACCAGTGGTACCGCACAAGGCGGTGGCGGAAGTTTCAAAAATAGGAAACCTATAGGAGAGGTTGGTTGTTGTGAGTCACGGATGCCAGAGCGAAGCCACTGATGGACCGACAAGTGGTTGAGGTCTCCTCTCTTTCTCTCTCTTTCTTTCACTTTCTGTGACTATCTACCTACCTACCTGACTAT